AAACCTCATCTTAAGCTTACCATAGGAGAACTTGAACTTCTGTTTGATATTCTCAAGGGCGATGCAAGTCCTAATTCCCTTTGACAATTAACTGATGAAGGACCAACAGCTTTGCTGAAAGTAGAGTAAGCTGTTAGTTATCAACAGATAAATTATATAGAATATGATCAATTGTTGGCTGTTTGCATTATTGCTACTCATGTGCTCACAGCAGTCCTTTGGCAGAAGAAACCATTAATGTGGATTCATCCTTCTTCATCTACAAGTAAAGTGTGAACATCCTATTATGAAACTATTGCTGTGTTAACACAGGATTGTAAGATAGAATCCTGAAAGTATTTTGGATGAAATGTTTATTCCTTATTCCAAATAGAAATTAAACTGGTTATTGGAAAACAATGATATTTGACTTATTGCATAGCAAACTTTTAGGCAAATTAGATAATCATTATCCACAGGACAAGTTGTTACAGTTTTCCTCTATGCATGCTTTTGTATTTCTTGGAAATTTGCATGCAGTCCATAGAAAAGATGTTTACTGTGTTCATATGTAATTAAATCACATGCTCATTTTCTTGAGTTTCCCCCTGCTTCAGCACAAATAATTGAATTACATGCTGTAGCCACTGTTTGAAATGCTGAAAAATCAAACTTTCAATTTGTATACTCATAGCCAGTATATGGCTCATGGCTTGTAATTGCTTAAAATTGTTCCCTTTTTAGATATTGCTAATTCTCAAATTTTACAATTATTTATACAAATACAGCTTAATTTAAGAAACAGGTACTGTTTCTTAACTTTATAAGACATTTAAGAGCTTATACTGGATTGCCTGGACCCCAGGACAATGCCAGAGCAGATTTGTATACCAGGGAGATTATAGACCTTACAGAAACAATTGGCCATACAATCTTATTCTTTACATCATCAAAATAGTAATAGCTTGAGATGATAATTTGGCATTTCTAGAAAGTGTGCAAGTTAAATTGCAAAAACTTGTTTTCAGTGTCCTCAAAATTTTTCATAATGGTGTTAAGCCTTGAGGACTTACATGTAATCAATTATGGCAAATGGTTGTTACTCATTTTTGATTTTGGAAAATTAAAATATGTACGTGTGACTGGACACTCTCTTAGACTTTCTAGTTGCAACTGCTTTAACAAGAGTAGCAACTAAAAATTATAATTAGTTATTACCTACATTATTTTTCTATGCTTGGTATTTCATGTCAGATTATAGACAATGGAACTGGCTATTGCAGTTAAACATTTAAGAAGTTTTGTTCACAATTTAATATTAGTCATATTACTGAGATTTTTTATAACCCAATGGGACAAGGAACTATTGAAAGTACACACGACACTCAAAAAAATTGGCTTCTTAAAACTAAAAGGGGGGGTGGCGGGGAGAATTATACCCTCTAAGGCCACCAAAAGCACATCTTGCTTTTGTGTTATTTGTTTTAAATTTTCTGCAAACTGATGCTAAATGTCAATCTGCAGCGGATTGCCACTGGCATCCAGTCACTTCCAGCTCATTTGCCAGGGTCATATGGAGAGACCCCCCAACTAATACATGGAATGGTCCCGACCCTGTTTTAATTTGGAATCGTGGCTCGGTCTGCATTTTCTCAGAAAAAGAAAATGGAGCCCAATGGCTGCCTGAACTTGGTCTGTCAAGTGGACACAGATCTTGAGCCTAATAATCATGATTCTGATGATGAAGATGGCTCGAAATCCTTATCTGCCAGCTGATTTAACCTGACATGTAGTCTCCATCAATACTTAAAGCCACCCACTATATACCTGGTGGCCAGACTTGTGTCTGATCCCTGTCAACCAGCAGTTGGATTAGACACTGGAACATTTCTGCTTCCATCCTTTATTTTCTACATTGCTTGGATAAATCATGTTGCTTTTAACCTTTTGAACTTTGTGTCTCAAGCAGATAGGTTGCCTTCACACAGGATCACTCTCAGCAAGCCAGCTATTCATCATGGCAGTTATCCATCATTATGAAGAATTGCATCAAGTGCATGCTCACAGGTCCTTTGGTCTGAATGTGGCTTTGGTCTATTTGGAAAAGAGTGTGCCAATGATGGCCAGTTAGTCAAAGACAGGTAAGAGCGTCTTGAGTTCCTATAAACCTAAGGCAGAGGTGTACATCAATATGCTATGTATTACCTCAAAGACAGGTAATATAGGAGAAATATAGGTGCCAACCTAAGCCAGGCATGATCGCCCAGCCACTCTGTACCCTAGATGGGATGAAATATCGTACCCCATCCAGCTGCTGGCACTGCTCATATTTTATAAAACTAAAAGGGAGGAATTGTGCCCTTCCCCCTGCCTTGAGCAGGCCTGAGAGACCTTGTTTACCACAATAGATCAAATAATAGGATATAGGTTGGATCACCCACCTTGACTGCATGACAATAGACACCTAGGTGGAGTTACCCACCTTGGCTCTTGGCTGCAAGTACAGCCTGCTACAGGAACTTAGAAGAATAACTGCCTGCTGAGCTTGCCTTGAGACATCTCCAGCTGTGACCTGTGACCAAGAACGGATTATACCACCCATCTCTTTTGGCTGAAACTAGGAAGGGTTCAGGCAGGGCCTTCCCCTTTAAATTGAAAAGCCAAACATTAAAGCATTGAGCCTTGATCAGAGAACTTTGTCTTGGCTTCATCTCTTTTCACCCACCATCTTCCTTTCGTTCCTAATCCCCTTTCGGGTGAACCCAGTTGACTAGTGGCTGCTGGTGGCTACATTCCTTCATTTTAATTTCCAATGATATTTTATTATCTGGAAGTAATTTTATCAACTTCAGAATGCCAGCCAGAGGGAAGCACGAATTTAATAAGTTAATATTCTCAGTACTTTCATTCATAATTTATTTCTCTTTTTGTTTTCTGCCTTCTAATTCTATTTTTTTGTTCCTCTAGCTTTGTCCTGAGTTCTAGTGGCATCCATGGATACTTTTAAATCAACTATCAGCTGACAATAATATAATATAATATAATAATATAATATGCAATATATTCTTAATATATAATATGATACATAATATAACATATGCCTTATATAATATAATATAGATAAGAACAATCTCATCACTTTCCTTCATGGAGATTTAAATGCTCAAGCTTTATGTGCCAAACTAGCTGATTTACAGGCTATTCTGTGCTTTCGACACCTGTGCTGGCTAGTTTTATATCAACATGACACAAGCTAGAGTCATTGGAGAGGAGAGAGCCTCAACTGAGAAAATGACTCAATAAGATTGGGCTGGGGGCAAGCCTGTTGGACGTTTACTTAATTGGTGGTGAAGGAGAACCCAGCCCACCATGAGAGGTGCCATCCTTAAGTTGTTGGTCATGGGTTCTAAGAAATCAGGCTGACAACCATCATACTGAACTTAGGAACCCCGGTGGGGGATCTGGGGGAAGGACTGAAGAAGCTGAGGAGGATTGCAACCCCATAGGAAGAACAATGTTGGCTGGCTGGACCACCCAGAGCTCCCAGGGACTAGACCAGCAACCAAGGAGTGTACATGGAGGGATACGTGACTCCAGATACATATATAGCAGAGGATGGCCTTGTCCGACATCAACGGAGGGGGAAGCCCTTGGTCTTGTGGAGGTCTGACACCCTAGCATAGGGGGATACTGGAGCGGTGGGTGGGGAGTGGGTGGGTAGGGGAGCACCCTCATAGAGGCAAAGGGGAGGAGGAAGAGGGCAGATGGGATGGGTGTATGTGGAGGGGTAAATGGGAAGGGGGATCTCATTTGAGATGTAAACAAATGGAGTGGTTAATGAAAGAAAGAAAGAAAGAGAGAGAGAGAGAGAGAGAGAGAGAGAGAGAGAGAGAGAAAGCAAGCAGGCTGAGCAAGCTATGAGGAGGAAACTAGTAAGCAGCATCCCTCCATGGCTTCTGCATCAGCTCCTGCCTCCAGGTTCCTATCCTGTTTGAGTTCCTGCCCTGACTTTCTTTAATGAGTGATGTGGAAGTGTAAGACAAATCAAACATTTCCCCTCCTAGTTGCTTTGGTCGTGGTGTTTCATCATAACAACAGTAACCTCAATTAAGATTTGTCATTGTCCTGCTTTGTGTTCTCCCCTGCCACCATCAACAACTGACACGGCATTGGTTTCTCTTCTTGATCTGTGTTCTCTCTTCCTATCAGAATGTGTTCACCATGGAGGTAAGAATCTTCAGTTGATTTATTTACCATGTTATCTTCCTTTCTTTAGACAGAGTCAGGAAATACAGTGGATTCTTAACAACTTAGACTAATAGATACAATAAATAATGCTATCAACAAATAATAAATTAAGTGCTAATAGGTATATAATATTTGATAAATTAATGAATAAGTGATTAAATGAGAATTTATGAGTTATTTATACTGTTTCCCCACCTCTGCCATTGTTCTAGCTTAGTATTGCACTGTTTAATGTTTCAAATCCTTTTTAAAAAGCTCATTAGGGAGTGGAGTCATCTTTTGTTCATATTTATAACCTCGTGTCTCCTAAATTGATTCTTAATGAGTATCTGTTATGTGAAGGAAAACATTTAACTAGTATTTATTATTAGTACAGTTTAATGGATTTATTAAATTGTTTAAATGTATTTCATTTAATCATTACTTTTTAATTTTATGTGTATGGCTGTTCTGCCTGCATGTATATTGTGTGCCACTTGCATGTGTGGTGCCGGCAGAGGCCAGAAGAGCCCATAGGATTTCTTAAGAGGGCGTTGTATTAGGGTGAGCTATTATGTGTGATGACGAGGTAAGAATTTATAATCATTTTAAATTAATATTATTCAAAAGCCATAAGACCATCAAAAAGGCAAAATGAGTTTTGCATAAAAATGTTATTTATTAACAGAACTACAATAGTGCAAAGAACATTTCTTTCATATCCAAGGACAAACTCAAATGTAAATTATGGTTTCTCAGATCCCAATAAATAAGTAAAAGGGAACAGAAAGAGGCATCAACCAGGCAGCGAGAATGCATGCTCAGGTTGTACACACGTAGCTCCATATCAGCAGAATTTAGCAATAGACCTTCTGGTACAACCAATGTGGCAACATTGCTCGCTCAGAAATCCACCAGACTCCCTCTTTTTCCGTGAACGAGTATCTGAGCGTAAGTATTTAAGTCCTAGAGGACTGTCGTCTTCTGCTTCACCCAGTTTATCATGGAAAGTTTTCTTAACTCCTTCCAAGCTAACAGGATCGCTCAGCACAGGCGCGTGTTGTTGCTCTGGCACCTCAGACTGTGCTCCCCTCAGCTCCTCTGACAAATTTGGAAGGCATTTCAACCTCATATCGAAAGGCTCTGAATCTTTGTTGATGAAGGATGGTACAACTTCTGTTAAGTTTAAAAAAGAAAAGTGAGTGTGTGGTGGGGGGCAATATTCATGTCAAGAAGCATTTGGGAAACTACAGACATCTGTATAGAAAAAAACATTTTGCCTGAATATAATTAAACACAGAAACAGGGTCAGCGAATACTGACTATCTCATGGCTGGCTGGGCAGTCAGAGTGCTATTATCTTACCAAGGTTCTGTTTACTCCACATGGCTTCTTTCTTCATCATCCTCTTCTTGCTTTAAACACTGTAATTTTCACCCCTTGACACTGAACTTTTATTTCTCTGAAATCACCCTGGCCATCGAAAACACTATTTTTCATGTTTTCTAGCCTGGTGTAGTGCCACACACCTTTATTTGGAGAGCAGAGGCACGTGAACCTCCATGAGTTCAAAGCCAGCAGGTTTACAGAGTGAGTCCAGATTACCCAGGACTATGTTAGAAAGACCCCTCTCAAAAATAAATAAATAAATAAATAAACAAACAAGACAAAACCCACTCATTTACACGTTTTCTAACCTGAATAATTTTGTTTGTTGCCTTTGAGCCATGAAAAAGTAATCCTTGAAACATAGTTTCTTGATTTTAGGAGTCCCAGAGTGTCAAGTAGGATAAAGTTTAAAAGGCAGAATTTCCAGCAGTTCAGCTCTGACTAGAGGATGGTTGTCTCGGAACCATCTTTCTTCCCCAGTGTTTGCTGGTCAATGGTATTGTAGACTCAAGAAATAAATAGCCTAAAAGAACGCTTCCCAAACCATGTGCTTCCCCAAAGTGCCTGGACCAATGTGGTATTTGCTCCAGTGTTGTGGGAAACCCTCTAGAACTACCTGACCCCTTCCTTCAACATTCTACATATCTACATTCATCATTCACTGTTTCCACCAGCGGTGTAAGTTAGGAGATTAAGAGGAAAACTTTTTTTTTTTCCTACAAACTCTCGCCCTGCCCTTACCTATTCCAAATGCACAAATTTAGATTATTAGCAAAGAAACTGGCAACACCGATTAAGTTTAAATTATAGTGCGATTTCTCAGTTCTTGCTGCTAGTCTTCGTGTACAGCAGAACAGTGTGTCGGTTTACCAGTAAGTCATTCTCTCTGGAAATAATACAACCAAGGAATCCAAAAGGCACAGCCTAAGTGTGGAAGGGAGATGCCTGGTTAGCCGTGGAGGTTCCCCCTCTAGAGAAAGCCAAACCGTTCCCCTATACAGAGGCGTCCTGGGACAGAGATCCTTTCTAAGAGTTTCGTTATCCTTTTAGCCAACAACCAGCTTCAGGGGTTGGAATTTGGCAGAGAGAAAGGACTCTGTTCCACGTGCTCATTCTAAGTCTAAACCAGCGATGGCCGGCGACATTCTGTACCGTGTTGTGTGTATCAGAAGTTCTGGCTTTTTTCTTCAGGAAGACATTCTAACTTTAACTCATCTTATTGATCCCTCCTTGCTCTAAAATTTTGTCCCAGTAGAGTTTTATCGGCTGTTAAGCAAAGTTGATGATTTCCTTTTATGTATTTAAAACCAGTAAGCAGAAGCCAGCTGTACTTTGGGTCAGAATTAACTTTCTAGCTCCTGTGCCTTGAAATTCTTTACTTAAAACTATTTTTAAATTATTTTGAAATCCGTGTTTTTGGTTTATAGACAATAGACGCAAATATTACATTTTAATCTAACTGAACTCATACAGGGATACACTTTTTAATTACTGGATTTTTGGACTCAAATATTATTTATATGGGACTAATGAGTTTTTCGCCACGATGGTCTGTGAGCTAGCCCCTTTTGTTTTTCTTACATTCCCTCACCCTCTCAAAGGAACTGCAAGACCCAGTTTAAAAAGATGCTCAGCAAAGCTCCCTTGGTGATGTGCCTTAAAAACAGAGAGCAGCAGTTCTCCCAGGCATGTTCCACAGCCAGGATTTTGGCTTCTGGTAGGACCTAGCGCCATCCCTAGTGCAAATAAAGCCCTTGGTTGAAACTTATCTAACTCCCTCTGATAGGTTCTCACTGAAACTCTAACCCAAGCACATTAAACCTGAAGCTGGGGATCTCAACCCCCCTACCCCACTCCCTCCCCACCCCCATACCCCACCTTATCACATCCTCCCACCCCCATACCCCCTGGGGCGAGATCGGAGGGCACTCACCATTGGTTTGTCTGGCAAGCAGGGCTGGCTCCTCCTGGCTCAAAGCCAGTCTTCCCGCGGAGGTCCCGCAGATTTGGAACCATGCACGGGCATATTCACGGCCACACACCTGAATAACTTGATCCATCCACTCCTTCGAGACTCGCGCCCTGCAAGGCTGGCTCAGCAATAGCCAGAACCCCAGGAGCTGGAGCAAGAATCTGCTTGACATTTCGGTCTGGGCTACTTCTGGGAGGTTCAGCCTTGGCGGGACTGGGCTCCTGCTGCGTTCCTAGTGCTCAATCCCGCTTTTATATCCCTTGGGAGCTCTCAGCACCAGTGTTGGTGGTTCCAGCTCCACCCACTTCCCACCTACGCGTGCACCGTATTATCTTCTTGGGTCTTGTTCCCCTTACCCACCTTTCGTTCATCACACCACCCTTCTGTCTTCTCTATTCTTGCCCCCAAACCACCTTGTATCCCAGAATTACTCTGAATTTGAAGCTTTTCCTTAGTTACAGAATAAGGCATGTCCCCCGCACTAAGTCACATCAGCAGTAAAGTCGAGACCATCAACTCTTGAGAGTGAAACTGACTTTTCACCTAGAATGTGTTTTTTTTTTTTTTTTTGGTTTAGTTGGTTTTTGTTGTTGTTGTTGTTGTTTTGTTTTTGCTGTCTTGTTTTTGTTTGTTTTTGCTGGTGTGAACCTGGTTGCTTTTGTGATTTCTTTTCAGTAAACTCAATACTGTTGTTTTAAAATGCTGTTGAGTTTTGTATGTTGCTTTTAGATCCTACAGTGGCTATTCTGTTGATCATATTGGAGTGTGAGGTTTTTCTATAGATAGAATCATAGTATCTGCGCCATTTGACTTCCTTTCTGGCTACTTGCTTTCTGCACACTCTGTTGCCTTATTGTTCATCCTAAAGTCTTTATGACTATTTTGAACGAGAGCAGTAAGAGCCAATGCCTTTGTCTTGTTCTAAGTATCAGAGTAAATGCTTCCGGATTCTCCGCATCCGACATGATGTAGGCTGTGGCTTGTCATATACTCTTGATTATGTTAGATAGCAACTTTCTGTAACTTGTTTTAAATAATGGTGCAGTGTTGAATTTTATCCAATGCTTTCCCTACTTATATGGAGATAACTTTTACGATTTTTGCAATTCATTCTGGTGATGTGTTACATGTATTGATTTGCATATGGTAAACTATCCTTGCCTCTCTCGATGCATTCACCTTGATCACCATGAATGATCTTTTTGATGGTTTAATATTTTGTTGAGTGTTTTTGTGTCTATCTTTATCAATGACATTGGTCTATAGTTTTATTTGTTGTGTCTCTGTCTCTTTTTGATATGGGGTGGTGCTGAACTGATAGGATAAACTTTGATTCTTTAGAATACTTTGAAAATCTGGTAATATTCAACCACAGGGCCATCTGGGGCTGAACTTTTCTTTGTTGAGAGACTTCTTGGTTACACAGTCTCATTACTTGAGTTAGTCTCTTCTTGTTTTCTGTGTCCTCATGGTTCAATCTTGATAAGTTATCTATATCCAGTAATTTATCCACTTTTACTTTTTAATTCTTTTAAATTAAATTGATTTACTAGATTGTACATAGCATGAGACTTTTTTTTACACTGTCCTCAATGAAGCAATTATAGTATTTTGTAGCAAATATAATTTAAAAACCAAACCCAAAGTTTCCTGAGTTGTGGTACTTTAGCCATGAGTTCTAACCAGACTAAAGACTCCAAAACCTACAACATATTTTTCAAATACAAGCCTGGAAATTAAGCAAACATCCTTGACTCTAACTGGAGGATATCTTAGTTAAAATATCTAAAATACAAAACATAATTGTCATGTATTATTTTTTCTCTGTCTTTGTCTGTAATTTTAATCAGTTGTACCTTCTCCTTTGTCTCAGCTATTCTAACTAAAATTTTCTCAATTTTGTCTGTCTTCTCCAGAACCAGGTCCTCATTTTACCCATCTTTTCAATTATAATTTAGTCTCTATATACTTTTTAATATTTGTTATTTTGGATTTGGCCTGTCCTTGTCTTTTGATCTTTGAAATACACAATTTGGCTGTTATTTGAAATCTCACCATTTTTCTTATTGCTATAAATTTCCTTTTGCTATTGGCTTTTAAAAGAATTCCTTAACCTTTGTTGTCTTGTTTACAGCTCCATAAGTTTTAAGAATTTTCTTCTTTTAGACTCAAAGTTATTCTTTTACATTACATTGTTTAAAGAGGTACAAGAAAAGAGAGATACATTATGGCTTTTTGACCAATCATCAAACCAATATAACATAGTCTAATTTTTAAAAATTACTTATTGTGGTAGGAGTCTATAGACATAATTGAAAACAATTTTAATTCTTCAATGACTTAGTATTTACATGGGATCAGTTGTTCAGTCTGTATAGGTTAATATAATTTCTGAAGTTTCTTTTATTCTCAATTTCTAAGTTTTATTTCATATGACCAATAAGATATATATGATACAATTTTGATGTTTTAAAATTTGCTATTTTGCTTTGCTAAGGTCTATTGTAGAGAATGTGGGGCGTGCTGATGAAAGGAGTGTATATTTAGCAGCTGTTGGGTTGAAAGGTTCCTCTAATATCTTCAGTGTGGGTCAATTCTGGTGCTCCTTTGTATCTACATGCATGTCCAGTGTTGAAAGGATGCTGAAGTCTCCCACTCTTGCTGTACTGGAGATCATCTCTCCCTTTGTGTCTAATGTTTTATAGTGAATTGCATGCTTTAACATGAGTGACTCTGCATCTATAGTTGTTATGTCTTCTTGCTGAATGGTCTCTTTGTCTCCTTTTAACAGTTTATCTCAAAGTCAATATTATCCTGTGTACGTATAGGTGCTTCCGTCTGCCGCTGCTTTTCCTTAGTGTGGAATGCCTTTTTTTCTCTACTCAGTGTGTGCATACTGGTGAAGGGAACTTCCTGTGAGCAGCATACTGTTGCTTTGGGTAATTTACTGTGTTATTTATTTCTAAGATCATTGGACCTTCATGGTTTTTTTTGTTTTTGTTTTAGTCCATTTAGCCTGTATCTTATTAGTTTTTGAAGTAAATATTTTTCTTTTTATTTTGACAACTTATTAATTTTATGTATTCTTGTGGCTCAGTGTGATATTTCAGTTCATGTGTACAGCGTGTACTGGGGATACCCAACCTTCCTTTGTCCATCCTTCTCCACCTCCCCACACTCTAGGTTTCTACACACATATCTAGTTTTGTTTTGGGGGGGAGTTGTTTTGTTTTACAATCTTTTATGCTACTTGGTGAGAAATAGTATAGAAGTAACCAAAATATCTAAAAATATGATGGTATATAAATATATTTCTGATTTCTAAGTCTTATTACACTGAGATTTGGGAAGGAAGGATGAAGTTAACTCACTTCTGGATATGTATCCCAGGGCAATAGAATTACCATACCAAAGAAATGTCTGTGCACCCAATGTGTACAATTCACAATAGTCGAGATACAGAATCAATAGATTCTATATAGATACTCAGTGGAATATTATTTAGCCAACAAGAAAATAAAATATTATCATTTCATAGCACAGTGGATAGACCTGGAAGGAATAACATTAAATGAAATAGGCACAGAAAAAGAACAGCCATCTTTTCTTTTTCCTGTACAGAAGTCAAATTTCCTTTATTAGTAATTAAAGATGTACTCCTGTTATTTTGCTTCATTTTCTGCTTGTGTCTTCTATTTTATTCTGTTGCTTTGCTCTAATACATTGCTAAAGTGGACTTCACCCTACTGTTGTGTTTCAAATGGGTCTTATTCTTTCAGTATCATGGTGCTAGCTTGCTTGCTTTCATTTCTGGTTTAGGACTCCACTAAGGATCTGATGGAAATTGCTCTAGTGACCAATTCCTGATTTTGTTTCTCTGGGGTCTTCATTGCTTTTCTCCTGCATTTCTGAATGGCAGCTTTGACATGAATGATTTTTTTTTGGTTGTCAAGTGTTTCCTTTCAGAACATAAAATCAACCACTCCCTTCCCCCCTGGTATGAAGACGTCTCTTTATAAGCAGAGAGACTGATAGAGGCCGTGATGTGACTTCTTACTTTCCTCTCGCAGGGATCAAAGTTCTTTCTTTTTTAGACATTTTTTAAAGTTTTTTTTTAATTACTTGTACATGGGGGTAGGTGGGCATGTGTGTGTGAACACAGATGCCTGTGGAGGCCAGAAGAATGTGTCAGGTCCCCTGGAGCTAGGATTATCTTGTGTTTTTCACAGTGTGACTATGTATGCCATAGGACAGTTCTGACAGTTCTATTTGGAGTTCTACGTGCCTTCGATACCCACATGTCTATCTTCGAGGCTGTGGGATTTTTCCAACTGTTAGTTTATTTAATAGATTTTTGTTTGTTTGTTTGTCTTAATACTTTTCTTCATTTCTTTGAGCTTCTGATGCTCAAAATGTGAGTACTTACTTCTTAACCACGTCTCAGTGGCGAGCTCTTCATGTCTAAGATTTCTGTTTGGGTCTTCTGAATGTCTCCAGCAGCACACTTATGGTTTTCTAGCTGTTTTCCTGTTTCCCTGTGTTGTTGCTGATGCGGTTCAGTTTCCTTGTGCTCGTTCTCTGGAGTTAGACCCTTGTTGAATGCTTCGTAACATCTGTGTATTGAGCTCTGTTGTTTGTGTGTCCCTTCAGAGGCCCTGTGGTTTTCATATTTCTTGTGACCCTGAGCTGATATTTTCATACTGATGATGCCCACTGTGGCTTTTGTAGCACCTTTTGTGGGGTGTCAGTTTGCTAAGGCACGTTGCCTTTTGTTCCAGTTGGGTCCTGTGGTACATGGGCTCTATAGCTTCAGCTGTGATTGACAGCTTTGGGTATGCTGAGTATGATTACAAGGGTTGGGGAGCCTGTCTGTCTCCAGCATCATGACGAGTTAAGCGATACTCCAATGACCCAGCGGATTTGTGTGTGGCCACTCTGACAGTGGGAATGGTGGCACTGAAAGGTAACTTCCCTGGCTCCCCAGAAACAGCTTAGCTATGCATAGCAGCAGGTTTGGGGGTGGGAAGCATAGAATTCATGTCTGGGCTTAGAGGTAACTCAGGCTAACTATGTAGCATGAGCCAATTATGGTGTTTACATCAGCAACTATGTGCTGTCAGACCCAGCACCAGTGCAGGAATTGTCAGAAGTCCCCGTCTGCTGGATCCCCTCACTCACCCTTTCTCCCATAGTGTGGTACCGCCCTCCCCCCCCAACCAGGGAAATTGAGATCATGTTTTCTCACA